CGGTGATAGTGCTTTAAAGCAGCTCCATTTGAATGGGATTTGAGCATTCGGCGAATAAGTGTTGTGCGCATGTGTGTCGAGAAAAGGAGGAAGAAGAGAGGAGCATAATTATTGAGAGGGTTTTGCTGGCACTGCTCCGGCACAACTACAGACATCGCTTTATGAGGTATTGTTCAGTTGCACGACATTAACATTTGAGGAAGGGACTCCCGCCGTTGCTGCTGCTGCTGCTTCTGCTTTTGCTGCTTCAAACATGAGGATGATTGTTGAGGAAGGGGAATTGGGATGGATGCATGGAATAGAAGAAAATTGTGATGATGATGATGGAAGGAGAAGTCTTCCAGAAGGCTCTTTACTTCAAATCTGGAACGGCAGCGGTGGCAGCAGTAGCCCGGCAACAAACATACAGATTTTCGAAAAGCTTCCTGAACGCGATAGATAAGATGAATATGCATGCGCACACAGTATATATAGGTATTGAAAAGAGGGGCTTTTGGCTGGCCAAGCAGCAGCAGCTTTTTGGCTGTCCGGGGAAGGTGGGCGTGCAGAGAATAAGGCGTCTCATCAATCCAGAAAAGCCATACTTTTGATTTGAGCCTATGGCTAGTTTTTATCAAGTACGTGCCTGCTCCGTTGTCGACCAGCAACAATAATGGCATAGGCTTCGCTGGTTCGGCTTTTCATTATTTCAAAGAAATTGGTTGGATTGGCGTGTTGCTGGGTTTGAGCAAGACAAATACTTCCAACACTGGCCCTCTTATAACTGTATGTTGTAAACCACCCCCTCGGAAATCCATGGTTTTGCGGTTTATCGCCGGGTTTTTGCAGCATCGACACTGGTGACTATTGTACCAGTTGGTAGGCCGGGAGCGACGAGGGAGGAATTTTTAATGAAGCACGATAGAGTGTTCATTTTCCATCTGCAGCTGCGGATGAAATATTGGAGTACAGCAGCACAGTCACAAAGTGTCACTAAAGTGCGCTTTGCTGAAGTCCGTTCCCAGAAATATTTCCCCTCAGACGTAGTACTCTGAAACTTTGATCAGTAGTTGTTTCATCGTTACGTTCCTTCTCGCCATTGATGCATCTGACTACTTCTGCAACAGCACCGAAAATGCTATTTGGTCAGGTAAGAAGTAACGACAGTTCTCGCTGTAGTTTACGAATTCATGAAAATATTCACTCCTCGATCTGACACATCAAAAAAGTATATTGTCGCGACGAAAACAACGCTTTTTTTGTTACCTAAATTGTGACATGCTGTCTATCTATTAATTAGTGCTTCCACGGCGAAAAAGGTTCGAAACCATGTTATCTCCACAAACCATGACGTGCTGGGTGATGACCGAAATGAAAAGTGATGGGGAAGTGCAGCGTGGTAAAAATAACCAAACGAAGTTACTGGATTTGAGTGCATTTCAGTAACATCGAGTGTCACTCACAAACATATTTCTAGTAAGATGGTTGGAAAATTACATTTTGTAGAGTACGCGTAAGTTTGCAGTCCATGTGTTTCATTCCTTAGCTGTAAATACAAACAAAGCATCTGATGTGAACTGACGTGGGATATAAAAAACTTCCACACAGGTTGCTTAACAAAATGGCAGATAAATTCACAGTCAGCTCATGCAAACCTCTGGGCAAAACAAAACTATCGCAACCGTTTGTCGGTTCTGATGGTTGCTACTGATAAACTCACTATCACCTGAAGGAATATGTGTGCCTGCTTCCTGCTTGCATTGTAAAATGCACAATTTGATTTCTTTCTGTTTTGCGGCGGAGAGGA